AAAGGCAAGAATGGGCGATATAACTTCTCAAATAGGCAGCATAATTTAAGATTAAAATAACGTTTCAGAAGATATTTTATTTTACCTCAAGCTGTTTTATGGACTGTTTTTTTGGCATTATTATTTAAATGGTACTTTCAGTCACACTAGATGTGAAAGCAATGGGAATCTGACAACTGCATTTTGCTGAAGTTTAATGAAATAAATGCTTGCTTATCTCTTTGAAGCATGGGAAACAGAAGATGACTTACGCGTTTGTTAAAACAATCAAATTAACCTGATGTACAAAAAAGACTTTTATGAGTTTTAAATTTTGGTATTCTTGAACTTAAATAAAACTCTCCCTGAGAGAGTCATTCTTTGACTAAAAGAACTGGAAGTTGTAAATTAGTAGAAATGTTGCTCGGATTTTGTAACACTCAGGTTTGCATAAACGCCCAACTCTAATGTTTATTCGAAGTAAACCTAGAGTAAGGTGCATTGGAATTTGGAATAAAAACTAGACATAAAAAGCTCAGAAATTACTTGCGATAATATTATGAGCATAAAAATTACAACCTCTCTCTCCTTGAAATATTCGCCAATGAAACGAGCTTGTAAATAGTCAAGATTCAAAAAATGTTAAAATGAAATCATTAACGAACCAACAATTTGATCCTCCAGCGCTAATATATATATATATATATATATATATATATATATATATATATATATATATAGGCATGGTGTGTAATTAATTTAGAATTTCTATCTCAAAACAGTAACATATGAATTTGGCTAAAATTTGTGTGTATAATATTAATTGAAAGAGGCAATAATTTAGATGATTTTTTTAACCCTTGTACTTTTTAGTACTGCATGTTTAACCTGCTTAGGGTTAGAGGATATTGGAAATGTTTTTTAGCCTGTTTTTAGATGATTTACCACACCAAATAATCAATAATGTTGAAATATTTCGAATATTACGTATTCACTTTTAATTAATTGATTAATTAATTAGTTCCTATCACAGATCATAAGGTACATGCTAAGAATAAAAATAATTATAATTTGACAGTAATGCGATTAATTGTTGGTTAACTTCCTCAAATTTGTCTTTTATCTACCTCTCTCAATATTAAGGCCAACAAATGATTCCTTTGTGTCGATTACACTTCGCTTCGACACACTTACGGCCGTGTACAATGAATGCGCTCTGCGGAGTATCAAAAGGCGGGCGGTGGGTGCTCTTCACTCGCCCACGGCGGCTTCCATGGGCCTCGCGGCCGCCGTCCCAGTTGCGGAGACCTCGACGCCCCGCCTAACCTTTTGTCTTAACGGCGAGAAAGTCAAAGGTCGCCCCCCCCCCTGCGCGGCCATGGGGAAAGCAGAGAAATACCTTAGCGAATGTGTTAATTATGATACGTGCGTTGCGTTCGTTCGTCTAAACAATCTCGGTGCGCTAAACCCACACCTGCTGGAGTCTACGTTCGTTGTGCAATTTTAATGTAGAGATTCATTGATGGGAACAGTTTGTGACGACTGTACTACCAACAATCCGAACCACCTCTTTAATCAGTTGTTAGTATCTGGTGAAGGGAAAGAAAATTCTTCATGGGAACCTTTCAAAAGTACGGGAGCTAAGAACAAGCAAGCTCATGAGAAGATTATATTATTTTAAAATTTATCTGCGAAATGTTTTTGTTCCATTGGATTCTAATAAATATTTAAAACATATCTGAGATGATAAGTGAGAGTAAATTTGATGACGTGAAACGTATTTTCTTCGTTGTCGAGTATATTCATGATGTTGCAAAGATGAGATCACCTCACCTTACTTCCAACAACTTAAGACGAAACAATTTAAGACGTGTTTCTGGAACACCAGGTCTGCATCATATTAGGCGGAACATGTAACTTGATTTTATGTTCTACTTTCGAACATAGGATTTCAAATTATCATTCCTTTGTGTCGAATTCATAATACACAAAATAAGAAATTATTAGATTATAAAAAATATGGCATTCATAAAGCATTTTCGTTTATGCTGAATATAAAATGTATTTTATTTTATTGACATATAGTTAATATTTATAACATAAAAATTGGTAATTTGAATGACGTTCGTTAGTATAAAAAAACGTAAAAGCTATATTTATTATGTATCTCTGGTTTATTTACGTATTTGTGCGGGGGTGGGGGATGCTGAAGTTCCATGAGCACTCTCTTGGGCGCGCCTCGATAATTATTAATAATGTTAGTAAAATTAAACACTAAGTACACGTTTTAGGTACAGTGTAATTTAAATTATCAGGATTCTAATGAACAGCCTTCTTCAATTATCTGGAACGATTTTTCTCGCTTTCTATATCTTTAATGTCAATTCGTAAAACCATTGCTGCTACCATAACGCAAGACGTGTTTTGTTCAGTTCAAGTTTCTTTTGAAGCTATTGTGCTGTACTCGGCCACTTTCATGTATTACAAAATACTACATTTGCTGCAGACACATTTATCCGAATCAACCCCGTTTCAGATAATTGAGATAATTGTGTGTCTACTTTAATTTGCAACCAGAAACAAAAAAAAGGAGGTCTATTAATGTACTGATCGTGAAAGGCATTAATGATTTTAGACAAATAATTCAATTATCTTCAGCGAATGAATTCGCATCTGACGAAAGAATTTACTTTATATAAATAGAGAACGTCCTGAAGGAGATGGATGGTTAAATTGCTGGATTCATGCTTGATGTCGAAAAAGCCCTGGAGCTCAAACCGATACACATTTACGATGAACAGTAATGCATCTCATTGCAAAAGTTGTTTTATGGTTACGTAGGCATCTCATTTTAGTGATCGCTCTCAGACGACCTGGCGATAAGAATCGTCGGCAGATAAGAAAAAAGGTTCTGTCCTTTTCCCGAGTCCTCTTCCAGAGCTGAAATCCATTCCAATGGTTCGCCCGCTTTTGCGGCGGGTACCCTCTTCCTCTCAAGTTCTCATCTGCATGTAGCTGAACCTCCCTTGGTGCTTACTGCCACCTTTGCTCTTCCACCTTTCTCAATCTTGAATTCTTCTCTTCACTCTAACATAATTCTCCTCTTATATCTCCGTAAAATTATCTACCAGCTTCCTCTTGCTCGTTCTTCTCTTACTTGATGGCTGCAACGTTGGCAAAATAGTGCACGATGTGGCATAGCCAAGACTGCCGACAACTATTGGGTGGCTCTAACCATAGAATCATTAGACAATAAATGATTGCTTAAAATAACTCGTATCTTAAGAGGGTTCGTATTTTATAGTGTTCCGGGAAATTAGTGCTAACCTTAAAAAATAGGAAACCTGGCAACGTGTAATCTACAGCAGGTTTTTCTTGGTTAAGTATTCACGGATTGTACACACTCCGTGTAATATTTTTCGTAAAACGAGCGTCTAATTTGACTTGTGCGCTTTTGATATCGTTCATAATGTTACACTTCCAACGGATGATCCCAGTTTCTTCTGGACGTTGACATAGAACGAAGCAAGTGGTCGTATAGAACTCAAAATATTCTGTGAAATCATCGTAACCAATTTACATCGTAAAGCGAGCACCTTCCATGAAATAACTTAAGTGACGTTCGTCACTTCGTATAGTAGAAAACTTGGATCTTCTAAATTTTAGTAGGACATTGGTATTAATCTAATTAATAACAGTAATGTCACCACAGTTAGATACTTCGTCAGACCACTAAACAATCACGAGGAATCCAAATGAAGAAATGGTTTTCTTAAGTCAAGTATTCATTTTTAGAAGTTCTTTTCGTTTATCTTGTTTTAGGATCATAAATATTTCCCGCCTTTTTAGGATTTATGAAATTCAGTTTTGAGGCTTGTATATATCTGCATTGACATAATGACGTTCAGAAGCGAGGAATAAAATAGGTTAAAACCTAAACACCCGGGCCGTGGTGATCACTCATTGCCCTCTCTGAGAAATAGTTTTTTGAGAAAAAGAATCGAACCACTAAAAAGCAACACTCGCTTTAAGTGACAACTAAAAGTTCGGTCCAACTCTTCATCCTATTTTAGCTTCAACTAGCGGAACCCGGCAGACGTTCTGCCCTTCATCTCCCTCTTTTTCCTTCCCTCTCCCTTTCTTCCTCGGTCTCGCACTCTCTCTCTCTCTTTCTCTCTCTCTCTCTTCCTCTCTCTCCGCCTCTCTACATCTCTCTTGCCATCTCTCTCTCTCTCTCTCTCTCTCTCTCTCTCTCTCTCTCTCTCTCTCTCTCTCTCTATCTCTCATTTAGTTGCAGATTCTGCTTGTCTCTGGGAAGTGGCGGACCAGCAAAAATGTAATAGAATGTTGAAGAATATCGGATCCTGTAGTTTACAGAGCGAAAATAGTTTTTTGAGTCCTTTGACCTCAAAATTTTAGTTTTTAAGGCTCTAACGCATCTCTTAGAAGTTATTTAATGATATAGATTTAAAAAAAATGCTCTTAGTGTTGCGGGTTGCATTTGGCATGAATATTTTGTTTTGCTCTACAGAGTCATCTAGTGGAGTTACAACAAAATGAACAGTTCATAAACCTTCTGGGTGATAAAACACGTAGATGTGCTAACTTTCATCGTGATCGGTCCTAAAGTGTCGGGGTTTAGCGCTCTTATATAAACCAACATCCATTTTTATTTTAGCTTCAATATAAAAAGAGATGGCACCTTATACAGTAGTGCTAATAAACAGCATCACCTACAGAAACGTGACATTTTAATCTTTCGTAATGCAATCAGCTCTCAAAAATTTTTAACAAATATTAGTAGAAATTGGTAATCATATATTTTATGTGAATTATATGATGTTTGTGATTCCATTACCTTCATAACTCGATCGGGTTTAGCAAATCAAGTACTGTATTTTCAGGATTATACTGCACATTACTACTGTGAGAAAGGTGATGCGGTTTCTTAGAGCGCTACTGTGTGTACAATGAATTGGAGTGTCAGTGTGCTTATCGGGCGCGGCGTGCGGTGTGCGCAGGTGTGCCTGGGCGTGCTGATGGCGGCGTGCGGCGTGCTGGCGCTGGCGCACGGGGCGGCGCTGGGCGGCGCGGGGGCGGGGCTGTGGGGCGGCGCCGGCGCGACATGGCGGCGGGCGCGCGGCGCTGCTTGGGCCGGCTGCCGCTGCTGGACGCCGGCGCCGCTCGGCTCCGCCGCCGGGCCGCCCGCCGCCGCCGCCGCCGCGCCGCCCGCGCCCGCGTCGCCCCGCGCTCGCCGCGCGTGGCCCTGGCCGGTGGCGCTGGCGTGGCGCACCTGGCCCGCCGTGGCTGGCCGTGGCCGGGCCTGGTTGCGCGACGCCCGCAACCCGCCCCCGCCGCCCGCGCCGCCGCGCGTCGTCTTCTTCGGCGAACAGGTGAGCCCTCGGCCGCGCCCTCAGCCTTCATATGCGCCACGCGGAAGAACTCAGCTTGGAATGAGGTAGATTTGGAGTAGAATTTCATATCTGCGTTCTAAAATATTAAGACAATCATTAGGGGGTGATAATTGACGGGTTCAATAGAACAAGAAGCTAACCCATATGTTTTTGTAAATTTAATTTATTAGAATTAAATGTAACTTCAAATATTTTAGTGTAACGTGCCATTTAAATCCAGAATGGATTGATATGGAAGTGTACTATGTTAAAAAGTTTAAAAATGTACTGTTATATTATGAAAGTTCTAGTAAAACTCTAAATAACTCAGCACTAAGTTAACATGGGAGAGACTCTTGTTCTACTGAGCCCTTCAGTTAATGAAAATAGAAATTAGTTGTAAAATTAAACCGCATTATAAAGCATTGATAAAAAAGAAAGCTTATGAGCTAAATCATCATTAAGCTATACTATTCTTTTTAAATGAAATAAGTATTCTGAATAGCCGGAAGAAAAACATCAATGAGTATGACAGGGATTTTCTTTCATATTGAGCTCGTCTGTGTTCATTACCGTGATAAATGCTGTATTAATAAATCTAGTAGATTCTAGAAGAAAATATCTAAAATATACCCCATTGACAATAGAATATAAAGGAATGTATGTATTTATTTGCCATTGAGAGTCGAATTATCCGACTTGTGCCAGATAACGGTGTTCTGAGGCCTGGACACTGTTTTTATTTATTATCCCCCCTGGGGGTAAGGTAGACATGTGATGAGCATGACGCATTCCCATCACTGCTCCTATTCCAGCATATAAGTGTAGTGTGCGTTCTCCTCCATCACTATTCCCATCTGAGCTACGTTTCGTGACACAGCTAAAGAAGCTTAATATGTTTTAGACGGCTACAACTTCATTTTTGATCCGACCGGAACCGAGTAACAGAAAGCTCGGAAACAGAGTAACAGAAACACACGCTAACCATGTATACACACAATTCAATAAATATGATTCAAATAGTCGTAATAATAACGAACGTACTGTAATGAACAGTAACGAGCAAACATTTAAATAAAATATTTGGAAAATGTAGACCTGGAACCAAATATTATCATTGCTAAAACCCAAGGAACTCTGGAAACGTGTAGAATTGTTCAAATAGTGTTTCAAGTCTTAATATCAGCACTGGATGAGATATGGCATTGCCTCTCTTATAGTAAACACCAGAGACAGGGAATAATACAAAAAATCCCACTGAGAGAAATGTTTACATTTTGATTCCTGATATAAGCATAGATGAACGATAGTCTTCCTGGTCTCCAACTTGCAAAACCTCAAGGGCCCCAACTGAAACTTTTAACATGGTTGCGCACCATATTTTCATTACTGCGGCAACCCACACCTGACTTTTCTGTATTTTTGATCTCGGTAATTTGCCCGGCTGCTCTGAACCGGAGGGGGGTAGATGCAACCGTGCATGATGTCAGGCTCTACCATGCATAATGCATAAAGCATCGAAACACATTAGGGTGATTTTGAATTTCTGCATTTACTAGAAAAAAAATCCTTAAATCTTAACTTAACCTATGTTTACATTAAGAGGGTGTTGACCCCGACAGGGCGCGTGCGCTAGGCGTAATACGTGAAATGAAAAATTAACATCTTTACGAAGTTTTGTAAAAACTAATATCGTTCACGTGCAAAAATTATTATTATTATTATTATAATTATTATTACTATTATTAATGAGACATGTATACGTGAAAATCGTATTAATAATGCCGGACATGGCTGGAAGGGACCATCTCGTTTGTCTCCACGGCGGGCCACAGTAAACGGCACCGCGGGCCGCTAGATGGGCAGTCCGGTTCTATAATAATAGTTTAAATTCTTATGAGTTTTCTCCACATCCTTCTTTGAAGTAGGTGCTGGCGATATCCTTTGCCACCCCGTCTGCAGAAGCGCGCGCGTGGAGGCTGGGGCGCGGCATGTGCCTCGCACGCCGCCGCTTCCCGGGGCGTGGATGTTGATCGCCCTCGGAAGCGTCCTCTCGCGGCGAGCGGCTTTCACCCACGCGCCTCCCCGCGCCCCACGCGACGAGCGGCGTCGTGGCCACTTCCGGCCCCGGGCGTGCTCACTGCCCCGACGCGCCGCCCGGCCCTCTTTCGCCCGAACACGGTCGACTCTAGAGTTGCATTAGTACACCGAAAGCGACCGTAACATGAAATTCCGACCAGGGTGGAGTATCAGTTGATGCCACTGTAATCCCTTTGATCGGGAGGTCCTAGGTTCCAGGACCGACGGGGGCAGGATTTTCGACAATAGCTTGTCTGCTTGGTCGAGTTCAACCGCTGCCTGGAGGTTTCTTCGATCAATACCAGGCGAATCCCGGAGCATTAACCTAACAAACGGGCCTCGGACCCCGCACGATCTTTCCTATCTCTTCCTTGTCCTATCCTCACCCCATACATACACTTACACTTACATGCACTACACTGCCACACTGATCGGTAGCTTAGAACTTGTCCGGCTGGGACGGTGCTGGTGGGGGATACCTGGTAGAAGAAAACCCCGCTATTCGACGGTACGTCTGCACCGGATCTCGCCATCCACCGGGGGAAGACCACTGCCACTTCCCGAGCAAAACACACACCATAGGACTAATGACCTTAGTAGTTGACGCGCCCGGAATCACTTACAATCAATGATACAATTTCCGGCCCCATGACAATGTTGAACTTAAGTAGTCAAACCGAAGTTTGCTCTTTAAACATTTAATATTTTGCCTGAGACGTGTTTCACGAGAGTACGCCTTAAGTGACTATAAGATGATGAAATTACGGCGGTTCTTGACAATATTATAATGTTGAACATAAGTAGTCAAATTGATTTTTGCTATTTAATATTGAAATAATACTCTACACGTATAAATGCAAATTAAAATAATTTTTATTGTAATTTGTTAACAAAATATAAATAAAAGCTTTAATTGCGATTTTGTTTGTGAATTACTGCAACTATTTTGTTTGTATCGTTAATAAAATGATTAAAATTATTTTTACACATTTCGAGATTAATATCAAATTATCTCTCTGTCATTGTCCCATGAGTTTAAGAGAGAATGTTCACGTTTTTTGAATTTAATGTTCTTCAGATTCAATAGAAAGCTATGGGAATTTAATATCGAATTTTTGTCGACAATTGTTACACAAACGTAACTGCCACTGAAAGCCCAAACAGAGAATTAAACGTTTAAACAGTGATAACCAAGTATAATTAATATCAAATTGTATTCGAAATATTACAGAGGGCCGGGGGCTGCACGCACGTGCTTAGTGTGTGTATGCAACCTCTCTTGGTCGTCATTTGTTATTGGGCGCCGCGCTGCTTAAGGAGAATCACTTTCAAGCGCTGCTCCGAATTTGTCTTTGTTTTGGGACGTGCGTGGAGGTGTTCACACGTTACGTTACATCCGGTTGCGCGTTTCAGTTCCGGGTAGCAGTGACCATCTGAAGAATAGAAATCTTGTTTAATATTCTATCCTGTAATCGCTGTGCTTAATATGCTGTTCATTAATCGACGTCTTTTAATATGATTTCGTACACTGCCATGGAGTTGCGTAAGTTCGTTCTCCAATCCATGTGTGGTTGACTCTATATCCCGAGGCTGCCTTTGCTTTCTACCCGAGGTAGTATGTGAACTTATGCAAAACGTTTCAGAACATTTCAAAATTAATCCGTGTTAGTGAAAATCATTGTATGGTTTAAATTTTGTTATATTTACTTTTGTTATAAATCATTTACACTCGTATTTGTCAGTGAAAGAACGTCTTTATTAGTAGAATATATTGACAATTGTAATGGAATTGTTTGCCGACAAAACTTGTTTAATATATTTATCGGTCACATGCGTCTTTAACCCTTGTTAACATACAACCCTATAAGTTTGTTAAGTGCACTTGTACCTACCTGTAGGTTAATAAATTAAAAACCCGTAGCAACGGGTTTTAAAATCTTTAGTAACCTAAATAAACAACCAATAAATTTTCAACATTATTATGAAAAAATCACACGGTAATTTACAAGATAAATAGTAATCAAATAAATTTTTGGGGGTGTTTATTATTAATTATAATGTTATTAATTGTGCAATTTGAAAAATAAACATTTGGTAAATTAGCATTATTTTCGTTGCACTTGACAAAATTGATTTCTTCTTCAGTAATATTTACTGAAGATGTGGTGCGGCCACCGGAAGTTGACCTTCCTGGACAATAGTAATTTTTTTTGCCATTTTCACTTTATTTATGAAAGACTCCTCAACATAAGATACGGCCACGGTAGAGCTCCTCCACCCACCAAAACATTTCAAATCTGTAAGGGAAGCTCCTGAATCCCCCAATGCCGTAGCCGAAGTTCTTCTTAAAGAGTACCCGGTGTTATTTTGAAATAGATATATCGCAAGCAATACCAAACAATATCGATTATCGTGCCGCAATAACAGAATTCATGTTTCATATCGCAGTAATGTAAATTGTCTCCAAAAAATTGAGATTTTATGGTGACCGATAAAACTCAACATACCACGAAATGTTACAATGTTATTACTGCCTCGTCCAAATTAAAAATCTCGGCAGTAATAACAGTCATAACATTTCTAGGTATGTTAATAGCTATAACGGATGCTCGAAGAGAAAAAAAGTATATTTAAAAGTGCGCGATTAGTAGGCAGTCTTATGACAATATTTAATATTTTATGTTATTACCTAAAAAGTTGCAATGCATGTCACAGGGAAGTTGAAAAACGTGCTAAAATGTTTTTGTCACCTCAGTTGCGTCCATGGCCACAACACGCACGCATGCACGCAGAGAGCTACATGAGTGCGCATATTCATTCACTTCGAGGTGCACACGGATATGTGATACATACGCGTTCTTTGTGCTGTCGAAGGACAATTTGCCCATTAACATAATGCGAGGAGCAATGTAATTTTTTTTACAATTACACAAAGCACAACAATGCAATATGAAATATGCCTTTAAAATCTCAGCAACTCGTTCGTAAGTTATGGTGATTCATGTTATGCACACTTTTAATGTGTCATTTCTTGCTCGCCGTGAAAACAACTAAGTTAATAAAATTATTATTGTTTCTCTATCTCATTCGTTTCTTATAAAACAATGTATCGTTTCTGTAGACCTGTCAACATAATTTGACCCAAAGGAGGGAGAAGTGTGAACACCGCTACTTTTCGAACCAATAAAAACGGTCCACTGAAAGATACAGGTTTACTGAAGGCTGTATCCGACTCCTGTAGGGGAAGTATGGGTTGTTACTTCTTCTGTCAAAGCCTCATGCAAGGAGGTATACAATCGGTGATCTAACTGCACAATTTCTTACCTAACTCGGGTGTTCGTGCTAGTTGCCTCTTACGGAAGCAACGTGCTTCACAAGTAACTGGGACTACTGAGGTACATGTAATTCCCTTGGGACACAAAACATTTATTTGTGAGACGGATTTATTAACACACCAAGGATACCTACTATTTTCTATCCAAATTCTCTGTAGTTCTCTCACACAGAGATGAATGGTTCTATCATTCCGCGGGTAACGAAAGCCAGACATGGTGGGCTACTGGATATGCACAATACATACCGTTTCTATCACCCGTGGGTAATAGGTAATATGAACAAGCACGTGGTTGGCTTTTCTGTTTCGAAAAACCCATTCTGGAGAAGTTCAATGAGTTCTGTGTATGGTGAACGAAAATGTTTAATGTACATGATTTGATACGCGAAGTATTGAGCGCTTGGATCTTATTTGTTACCCGATCGTTTCATATTATCCAGTTCAGGAGCATTTCTCCGATGTCTTGCAGTCTTAACGCAATCCCAATACATTAAAGTGGCAGAACTCGCGAGTCGATCACAAATATTGTGCTGGTGCGCAGCAAACAGTTAACGTGTGTATTTCGGGTCCGCCACTGAGGCTTTGAAGGTGCGAGTTCTTGCATCGACAAAATTTCTATATTTTAGTTTAGTTACTAGAATGAACATCTCCACTGCTTGGATGAAATATTCGAAGAAACGGTTTCTCTGCAATTTCTCTCAAATCCAGGTGGATGTCGGATGCCGTTAAATACAGGCCAGGACTAAGCGTTATGCGTTTTTCCAACACTGTTCCCAACTACATGATGATTGATGTCTCTTTTCCAAAAGTGTTATCTCCCTTGGAGAAATTTTCATATAGTATTACTGGTAGGCGAGTGTCAGGCTAAGACGAGCTTTGAATTTTGATACCAATTTTGGGATATAACGATTCATTACTGATGTAGTTATTAGCCCAGTAAGTGTAGAACAGGTTATATGACCGGGAGTTGCCTCCGGTGTTTCTTCCCTACTGGAGCTTGAGGTCCGGTGCCGACCGACTCGACAACTGGTGGTGTTTTCCCTCCACGTATCTCCTTCAGCGGACCACCGCTCCAGCTGATACAAGCACTAAGCTCCCGACTAGTCTCTAGACATTCGTGGTAGATTAGTGTATGCATGTATGTGTGTATGTATGTATGTATGTATTTATGTATGTGTAAGTGTGTTAGTGTAGAGAGGAGGTAGACAGATGAGGAAGAGAAGGTCGCGCGTGGAAAGTGATACATTGGGCAAACCGGCTTTCACCAGGTATTGATCGGGAAAACAACGGAAAACTACCGCGCAGCCATCCACTAGAATTTTCCCTCAGACACGAGTACAATTCCATCCATCCATGTAGTTAGCGTCGAATATCTGCCACCGTCCAGACTCCTCAACACTAGAACCTCCAGGTCAACGCCACTGGATTTTTGATGCCTCTGCTCCATCACAGGCAGCGTCCTAAATAACGAACGCACAGCGACGCGTCCCTCGTCAAACGCCTCGGAAAATACGAAAATTCAGTCCCCGCCCCCGTCGCCAAGTGCCGTTGGGGCGCAGGCGGGGCGCGAACCGCCCACGTGGCGTCGGGGGGGGGGGGAGGTGCGCTTCCTGGACACGCGAGGCGCGTCCTATCAGCCGAAGCGCGTGGAGGCGGGTGGCGGGTGGCAGAGGCCGGGAGCAGTATCAGCGCCGGGCGTTGCGTGATGGAGCGTTTGCGCGGTTTGTGGAGCGTTTCTCACGGAAGCGCTGCGGCGCGGAGCAGGAACGCCGGGCGGGCGACAATGCGCCTGCGAAAAGCTCCCACCCTGGGGCGCTGGGGCGGCTCCGTTGTGGAGCAGGGAATCAGGCGGCTTATGGCGGCCGCCTCCGCCACGTAACCTTCGCCGCGCAGTTACGAGAATCCCGTGCGTTGCGGGGCGACGTTTGAGGTGGGATATGGGCGATTCCTGCTAATGTTGCGTCATAATTTCAGCAGATCACAATACTATAATGAATTGATATGTCACTAGAACATTATTTTCTTGATTTTTAAAGTTTATAAGTAACATGTTAATGAACATTATCTCGTTATTGTGAGAGTATTCTGACCTTTCATTAAAACAGACACTATAATATTATTTTTTCAAATAATTTATTAATTTGACGTTTCGACCTTAATTGGGTTCTTTTTCAATGTATGTCGGGTCCAGATTTATATAAAATGTTACCTTCTTTGTACTAAGTCTTTTTAACAAACTTAGAGCCGAGTTATTTTGAAATATAAAGCAATTAGGAACGAAAGATCAAATTTATAAGTTATTAGAAAAAACATTATAGTCTTTGTTTTAATAGGTGAGATTATTCTACTACATTACTATAACAATTTTGAATTTTTTGGTCGCAAAAACCTTTGTGCTCAAGAGCCATAAAGCACATTCTTCAACCAACGTCCGTACTAAGGAAAATACAGGTTCCATACGAATGACTTCCAGCAGGTTCTCGAGACAACTGCTAAGCAATAGTAAATAGAAGAGAAGAGTGGGCTGAGGTGAAACAATGTAAAGTAGATGATAAATGGGTTAAAACTATCCTATTAAATACTGGCTGAAAAATAAATATTGTAATATGTTTAGGCTTCTTTAATAGAATATCATACACAACGTTTGTTTTTCGCCTTTCAGAAGCATATAACATTCCTCGCCACTAATCGTAATCATCCAGTCGTATGAGGTACGCCACATGAGACAGGGACGAATATAGATTAATCAAATTGATTGGACTATCAGAGATGTAATATAGAACTGGGAAACCCGGAAAGCGATTTTTTACCCACATCTTAAGTATACGGATGATTTAATCGACAGTGAAATGCGTGTGTTTAATGAATTTAATGAATTCATTACTAGTAGAGAAAAGATAAGTCAGCCGTATCTGTTGGTGTAAACTGCGTTCGAAATTTAGCGCTGGTTGGACTCTAGAGAACGTTTTATGTCAACCGAACCAGAATCTTGCCATTGCCGTGCAAACGCGCGAGCGAAATGGGTCAAATGGACTCGAACGAATCCACCATTTTGGGCTAAACTGATTTAACTCATCCACCTTAACACGTGCACCATTTTGAGTCACCACTTACACCACCCGTTATACATCTTTTTTACAAGTGCGCCATTTATCTCTTGCTGTTTGCAACAAACAAAAAGACAAGAGGGAAATAATAAAAAAGAAAAGAACGAAAAAAAATATTCGCCGCGTGAATCGCTGGGCTGGGCGGGT